CGTGCTTGGCCGCCACGGAATGGCTCGGTCACCAGAAGCCTAGCGAGCTGTAGCAGGACGTCCTGGTAGTACGGATCGGATCCAGCGTCATCCCCATCTTCTGAGCTAGACTCGGTATCCTCGCTCTCTCCGCCGTCTACGCTAGAGTCGTCCTGGCTGGTCGTGTCGTCGTCGCCCTCGCCATCGTCCTTGTCCTTGAATGCGCTTACGTCGTCGTGATCAGCAGCAGCTCGCCTCGTCTGCCGCGTGCGAGATGGCCATGAGAAGGCGGTAGTGTCCACGGTCTCTATCCCAGAATCGTGGGCATTGTCGTAGCACTCATCCTCGCTCCCGCCGCCGGACCCCCGCGCGCTCGGCTGGGCTGCTCCTCTAGTTGCGCGGTCCACGCGCCGCTGACCCTGGGTTCGTGGTTCGCCGAGCGCGGACCAAGCCGCTTGCAAGGCGTCACGCTGGGCCTGCGTCAACGACCTCCGGCATAGAGAAACGCGGGCAGCCTCCGGCAGGCGCCAGAGCCGAAACGAGAAGCAGAAGAACCTGAGAAAGAGCCTCCAGTAGGATTGGGCCGTGGACTGGCGGCCCACGAGCTCAAAGGGGACCCTGTGCGGACGCACCGGGTCGGTGCTCCGAAGCCACAGCCGGATCGAAACGTCGGTGTGTCGCGCCGTGTCCTCACAGCGGCTCTGAAGCCCGCGCAACGCCGACGCAACGCGGCCTAACCGATCTTCGTCCTCGCGGGTGCTCCGGATCGTTGTTTCGTCTCCAGGCGCGCTAAGTCGCAGGCCGTCCCCTTCTTGGCACGGCGGCAGGGCGAGCCTGGCGAGAACGTCGCGCCTCGCCCCGTGGAAGGTCTCTAACCAGCCAGTCCGCCGCATCCAGTTCGTCTGTAGGGCTAGATCAGGTGGGCTCGTGCCGTCTGTCTGGCGAGCGGTAGCTGAACGGCTGGCCAGGTGTTCCCGCTCGGCTTGATGCAGCACGTCAAGGGCAGCCCTCTGCTCGGTTGTGGCCTGGTTCCGCAACCGGGAGGAAGCGTCTTCTGGTCGCTCGGCCGGGGATGGGTCCTGCGTAGCGATCCAGTACCCGCGGGCGCCGTTCTGGGTCCAACTCTGCAGGACAACGTCCTCGAAGACCTCGTCGCGCAGCCAGCCCCTGTACCCCTGGGCGCGGCGGCGATTGTGGGCTTTCGCTAGGTGCCGCGTGATGAGCTCGACGCTGGTTGTCCGGTAGGTACAGTGACGGCAGGCAACGCCGGTATGAGTGGCCAGCTGCGGATGGGCCGGCGACCAATCGGGGCGGAGAGGTAGGGTGTTGGGATCCGGAAGACATAGGGCGCGAACCAAGGGGTGGAGTCCGTCGCGCGACCGCTTTGGGATGGCATGCTTGTCAGCGAGATGCCGCGTCACGCAGTTGCCATTGGGCTGCAAGGCGTAGCCGCACGGTCGGCATATCAACGCGGGCTCGGGCACACTTATAACCAAGCCGAGTGCGGTAAGGCGCCGGTTGCGCTCCTCCTCTTGTAGAGGAGACCAGCGGGGCTGGAGTGGTGGCAGCAAGGCCTGCTCTAGATTGCCCGTCATACTGGAGTATATTATAAAGAAGACAGCGGTGCGAGCTGACCACGGTGCTTTACTGTGCTGTCTATTGGTGATCAGGCGGGAAGTTCGCACGTAGACGCCTCGGAAATTAGTGTTTTTCAGTGTAGAGGAAGAGAGAGATAGACGAGACCGGGAACGCGTGCAGGATTCCCCTTTTCCGGTGGGTGGTATGTGTGGT